TAATCTCCAACAAATTCTAAAATAATGTGTAAAGAGTTAAAAGAAAGAACCTTGACAGTTTAAGAAAAAAGATTTATTGTCAATATTTTTTTAATTTTTAAATGTAGAAATGCACCCCATCGATCATCAATTAACATTCAAATTATTTAAACTGTTTTCCAATTTATCCAATTTATACACATTTCTGAACAAGTACTGACTGAACTATGTCAATCCCAAGCAATATATGATTTCAATTAGTAATTGGATATGTCTATATCCTGTATATTTTGACTCAACAAAAACAGTCCAACAAGGAAGAAGAATAACACAAAAAGAGGCTGTGAAACATCCATTGGCTAAAGATATTGGAGAAGTTGTAAAATCTTTAGGTTTAAATTGTGCTCTTGAGGTGATTTACAAGTGAACGAATGATTTTTAGAAAGAAAAGGTTCCAATTATTTAATTCACACACACATTCATATTGTTATTTTAAATGAGAAAAGCCACATAAAACACACCCTCAGGACTGGGAAAATTCTGGAAGGGTAAAAGTAGAATTGTTTAATGAAAAAAAATCACCAATAAGATATGAAATACCAACACATAAGCCTAATGGCAATATTAAGAACTGTTTTTTGATAATAATAAATGCTAAACATATTTGTTTATAAATTCAATTAGGTAAAGTGTTAATTAAAAATGTGTCAATATTATTAGCTAAAATCCAACAAGAAAGTCCACAACAATTTCCTCCACCACATTCCCCAGCTGTATTTGATAGTTATTCTAGTGATTCTACTTCAATGTCTAATCCAAATACATCTACCTCTACCTCTACCACAACTCCAGCATCATCATCGTCAAGCAGAATTGCAGGTACAACCAGAAGTTCAAATTCTAACTTAAAAAAGAAAGGAAGAAAGGGCAAAAAATAACAATTTAATTTTTAGAATCTTGAAAATTTTATTATGTATATTTATAATACAATAATCAATTTTAATTAAAAACTTTACCTTTATAATTATAATTATAATTATAATAATAATTATTATTATTTTATATATATTTTATTATTCCACCCATTTCTCTTTCACAGTTATTATTCATATTAATACCATTACCATTAAAATTATTGATTGTTTGTCACATAAAGTATAAGCTTTGTCTATATAACTATACCAAAACTTTTTCTGATGGATCGTTTTGTGTACCATTGCACAAGTTCAATATGTCACACGTT